GAGAAAGACAAGATCGACAAGTATGGACCAATCACCCAAGCGGCCGGCTTCCGCTTCGTGCCCCTCGCTGCGGAGACATTCGGCAGATGGGGAGACAAGACCATGGATTTTCTCAAGATGCTCGCCAAACGAAAGCCTCGCCCCACATCCATTCCCATGGAGGAGGACACAGCTTTCCGAGAGAGCATCGTCAACCGCTGGAGCCAGCTCCTGTCCGTCGAGTTGATGAAGCACAACGCGTTTCAAGTGGCGAGTCGTGCGCAGCGCGCGGCGGCCGCCAGAGGGCCACGGAGGGCCAGCGCGTTTTCGGAGGACTTCGTCAGCTGCGGGGCTGTAAGATGGCTGGCTGGACCTGGGTTCTGAGTGTGCGTGTCGTGTTGCATGTCTCGCGCTTGTTTGCAGTGTGCGACATGTTTTCGCAGTCAACGAGCGCTGTCCATTGTTTCTGCATGTATTGTTTCGCTTCATTTGCTTGATACGAAGTGATGCTTAGACGAACTTCGTCGCCCGTTTCATGCATCTACTCAAACCCAGCTCAAACAGACAAAGTCAAATGCGCAGAGATGGTCCCATAGCTGTTCTTACCACGGATGGGTGCGGCAACGAGACAGGTTTCTCATGCATTCTCGAATGCTACCAATCGCCTAACTGTGAGCTGCGTGAGTGAGACAAGAATGCCGAGTACATGACGAACACAGAACGAGACACAGACTTTCCAGCAAGGAAGACGCATCTTTTGAATGATACTTACTGATAAACAGAGGAAGTCCCATACACGCACACGGACCAATCCACTATTCGGTCAGTCTCCCTCTCAATCTTTAGGTCGTACACTCTTTCAAGCTCCCACGTCACAATGAATGCCCTTCCACGTCACAATGAATGCCACGAACCCAACATACTTATGTTCTGTCTTCTATCTATGTCTTGGGCACCGCCCACGTGTGCGTGTCGTATGGCGAGCGGAAGAAGGATGGCGGCACGGGGCCGTAAGTGCGACCCGTCTTGAACATTCCTTGGTAGAACGTCGGGCTGTACAGCGGCAGAGCGGTGGGTCGCAGAGTCGTCTCCTCCTCCGTCCGGTGGAGAAATCCTGGAAGAAACACGCGAATAACTAAGATCTCTCCGTAGCTACTACGGTGAGACACAGACATTGCTCGCTGACCTTCTTTCCTCCTGACATACTCCGCTAGTCTGTCGTCATTGATCGGCAGCTGACAGTGCGGGCACCGAAAAGGGTCGCTCAGGTGGCCCACTCTGTGGAATCGCAGAATCGTCCATAAGTGCATATCTATCATCCACAAATCAATCAGCCTGCGGGCGACGCTCACCTGCCGAGAGGCGTCCCCATCATCTGCACACACCACACCACACCACACGACAGACACAGCAGCTATCCATGCCATCACCACGGCAGTGGGCCCTTCCAGGGTGGCGCATTTGGCCCCCAGAAGAGCCCAGGGCAGCTCTCGAGGCTCTGCCGCACTCCAGCGGCCCTCTCATCGAGCCGCAGAGCCTCAAGCGAGAGCGGCACCCCAATCATGATGCGGGCCTGCCTCACCCTCAGCTCTGTCGCCGACGGACGAGTCGCGGCCATGAATCGTCCAGACCGACGCACCTACAGCAAGAAAAGATCGGTCCAGTATGTATGGGGAGAAGAGACGGATCGTCTTGTATGTATGTATCTGTACTCACCCAGAAGTCATTGAACTTGGCTCGAAATTCGTCGAAGTCGATGCGATTGGAGCCGTCAGGATCGAGCTCCTGAAATACCATCTGGACGAAGGGCTCTGGCAATGGGTCGGGTACGCCGTCACGGATCTGTCAGAAAGAAAGAAGGAAAGACAGGCAGAAGAATGCGAGACACCGACATGTCTGTACCCGTATTTTCTCCAGCAACACACGAATCTCGTTACGATCCTGACCACAAGAAGGGGCTGACATTCATGGATGATCCCCCATTGATCCCATGCCTTGTTGTCTCACCAGGTAGCCGGAACCATCCGTATCATAGTGGTCCCACAGTGTACGCAGCTCCTCATCCGTCAGCTTCGGCGCAGACGTGGCGGCGCTCACACCATCAGCACCCGACTGACAGAAGTGGCAAAATACGCGTGGATCGATCTGTGCGCTTCTTCGCTCTACCCGTCTTTTTCGTCTCGTCCAGAAGTCGTTGAATCGTGTGCTGAATTCCTCCCAGGTGATCTCGCCCGAGTTGTCCGGATCAAGCATGCGGAACACCTCATTGAGAAAGCTGTCCGACAAGGCCTCTCGCTCGCCGTCGCGATACTGCAGAAATGGATGGGCAGGGCAGAATATTCCATCGACACCCTCACACAGAGACAACAGAAATCACTCACACGGATCTTTTCCAACAGCACACGAAGCTCTGTGCGGCTCTGAAGGCAGGACGCCGGAAAACATGAAGGACAGGCCCATTGAAAGGGTTGGTGCCGGCCCCAGCTCACCAGTGCGCCAGACTTATCCTTGTCGTAGTGGTCCCACAACGCCCGCAGCTCTGGCTGTCGCAATTCCGGCTCGTCAACAGCAGCGCCGCCCCCATACGTAGATGGAGCTCACCCATCTCACCGCCCTCCTGAATGCACATTGCAGGCCTGCTTGTCCCTTGTCCCTTGTCCTTCCTGCTGTGCTGCACCCACCGCCCGCCCACCGAGAGGTATCTCTTCTTGTGTCTCCAGAACCGATTGAAGTTGGCTTTGAACTCGCTCCAGTCGACAAAGCCGCTGTTGTCGGGGTCGAGCATCTTGAATATCTTCTTGTAGTACACATCCTGCAGAGTGCCGGGGATGCCCTCCTTCTCCTGCAAGAACACGGTTTTTCGACAAAGTGAGTCTATGGAGCACATCGCCTTAAACAGCTTGTATGTACCCTGATGCGATCCACCAGCTTGCGCACCTCTCCGTGGTCCTATACAACAGACAGAAGTGGAGGAGGGGAATCGATATCCAATCGTGTGGAGGTTGGCGCGTCAGTGTGTTACCATCTTCTCATCGCCGCCCGAATACGCATTCCAAAGCGCCTTCAGATCGCTCTCGGTCAGCGCATCAGTCTCTGCCGGACCAGCCGCAGGTGCAGGATTCATCGTGCCTCCCTCCTCGCCCTGACATGAAGACCATCGCCATCAGATCATTCCAGAACACGCAGCGGTGCCGTCTCTCCCCTTACTCACCGTGAGGTACCTCCTTCTGTGCTTCCAGAACTTGTTGAACTGACCAAAAAACTCGCTTTTGTCGACTGAGTTGTTGCCGTCGGGATCCAAGAGCTTGAAGACCTTGGCGAAGTAGTGGTCGTTGAGTGTGCCCGACAGGCCCTCCTTCTGCTGTATCTTGACAATGAGCTCTCGCACCTCTGCTGGACTCTAAATGACAGTCAAGCACAAGGAGAAGACACAATGCATTGCACCCCACTTGACAATGCGTGCGTCCTCCAACCAGCGCGCCGGAGCCTGCCACACACGAGAACGAGCAGCAAATCAGAACGAACAATAGATGTTCATTCAAATTCAATGCTTCCGTCTCACCGTCTTTGTCATAGTGGCTCCAAAGGGCTTCCAGATCAGCAGTGGACAGCGCTGGAGCTTCATCCATTCCGAAGCGTTCGCCCCAGCTCGCAGTGGCCCCCAGTCACCCCCGGGCCGCGTCTCGCCTCTGAGTCAGCAAGTACGCCTCTGAGGCAGCCTGTGTGTGCAGAAGGAATCAGCAAGAAGAGCATACAGAAGTATTCAGCAATTAGCCTGTGTCAGGCCGAAGTCCTGTCCCATTATTTTCCTCTTCCAACGCACCCAACGCCTCTGCCGCAATAGCTCTGCCGCTTCCCTTCCTGCAGCTATCCTGCAGCACTCTCTTCGCCCTCCGCCGCTGCCGCTGCCGACGCTATCATGGTCCCTTCAGCCCGCCTCGCCCGCCTCTCTTTCGGCTTCACTCTCGCCCTCCTCTTCGCTGCCGTCGCCAACGCACAGACCTCGCCGTGCGACGATCTGCAGTGCAACTTCAAAGATGCCAAGGATGAGACAATCCCTGCTGACGGGCGGACAGTCGAGGGAGCGACAGCAAAAACCGTCACAGTGGTCGCAGGGGCCGGTAACACTATTGGGCTGACGCTGAAAAACTCCTGCGCGCAAAAGGTGGTCATTGATGGTCTTGGTGACGGGAAGATAGTGCTTGAGAAGAACTGTGTGGACGGCGACGGAATATCGACGGGTGTTATCGGGATAACAAACAACAAATGCGACTTCGACTTGTTCAACAACGACTCGCCCCGGGTCTACTGTAAGCTGGAAGAAGAAAGAGAGAACTCGTCTCGACGTGTTGTCTCCTCTTGCGTGTCCTGGGCAGTCGACAACAAGACACCAAGATAACGACGGAGGAAAACTTCCACCTCGGTGACATATGCGTCGATGAAGATGATGAGAAGGTGGACTGTGATGCCGATGACGTGGAACGCGTGCACAACGTCGAGTACACCAACAACAAGGGCAAGTGGGATGCCACTGAGAATATTGTGAATTGGGTTTTGATAAGCGACAACAAAGGCGATGATGCAGAAATCGAAACCAAGAAGAATTGCGTGTTCGGCAAAGTGGTGTGTAAAAACAATGGGGGCAACTACGTGACCGGGGACGACTTCTGCGCCGCAGACGACGATGACGATAAGTGTGAGGACGACAACCTGGCCATCGGTGACTGTACCGTCGATGCGGAGGGAAGGCCGGCCCAGCTGACGCCTCCCAAGGAGGGCGAGTGCCCCACTGTGGATGACGATACTCGACGCAGAGTGGCCCCTGGTCCTGGGGCTGCACCTAAGGTGCCTGCGCCCGTGAAGCCTGCCCCTGCACAGCCTGCCGCTGCAAAGCCTGCGGACCGCGCCACCGCGGCCAGTCTGAGAGAGTAGGACCGCCCTCTCTCACCACATACGACATGGCGGTAAGGCTCAGGCAGCCGCAACGACACGAAAGCGAGCAAACCACCGTTCGCTTCTGTTGCTGGTGCGTGCAGGCCTTTTCTCTCCGTCTGCCTGACTGTGTATTCGTCAATCACCGTCATTGCTCCACTGGACTGATCCACACCACACACCGACAGTGAGGGCAGGGCAGGAGGGAGGCAGGAGAGAGCAGAAGTCTATGCACATCCCTGGCTTGATTTGAAGTAGTTTGGCCGCCTATTCCATGTGTCCTCATGTGTGTGCCTTCCCACATCGTCTGGCAGTTTTTCCAGTCGTCAATCGACGACACACAGAGGCGACAGCGCCTCTCACTTTCTGCTGCCTATTCCATACAGACGTAGTAGATTTCATGTGTGTGTGTGTGTGTGTGTGTAGCATGTGGATGCTTGCTGGCTTTGTCAGTCGCCGTGACTGACCTTCGTAGCAACTGCTTTGCATGATGCCTACAGACGCTTTTTTTGTTTGTGCAGGCAGACAGTGAGACTTCGTCTACGAGCCGACGAATGAGTGGGGTGTGCGTGTGTGTGTGATGAGAGCATTGAGCGCCTGTGTGAGAGAGGAGAAGATGAGCGAATGTACATACATCCCTGGCTTGATTTGAAGAAAGTAGCTTTGCCGCTTATTCACTCCATGTCGCTGCGTGTGTGTGTGTGTGTTCCTTATGAACAAGCACCTGGCAGTTTTTCCAGTCGTCAAATCGACGACACACAGAGGCGAGAGCGTCTCTCTCACTTCCTGCTGCCGAATACATAACATACAGACACAGACGTAGTAGATTTCGTGTGTGTGTAGCATGGCATGTGGATGGCTGGTGGCTTCGTCAGTCGCCTTGACTGACCGTCGTAGAGCTCTCTTGTCTGGTGAGTGACTACGGACGCCTTCTTGTTGGCGCAGGCAGACAGTGAGACTTGTCTACGAGCAATCGAACAAGAGGGGTGTGCGTGTATGTTATGTGCCTGAGAGCATTGAGTGCCTTTGTGTGAGAGGGAAGAAGAGTAGCGAGGAGCACAGGTCAGCCAATGCAATGCACAACCCCGGCTTGATCCGAAGCGACGCATTCGCAGACAGAGGCGAATTTCTTCTCCCTTGTTGCTGCCAAGTACATGACATACAGCCGTAGTAGGTGTTGTGTGACTGACATGGTCGGTGGCTCTGTCAGTCGCCGTGACTGACCGTTGTAGCAGCTCTTTTGTTTGGTCACCGCTGCGGGGAGGTGTGTGTGTGCTGAGAGTAGGATAGACAGCCAAGGACACAAATAGAATGCGCTTTCGGTCAATCGTGTGAGACGCGGCATTGGAAAAAAGATGCGTGCGCAAATGCACTGCGACTGCACGCCAGCATTGCGCACCATCCTGTCCACCTGCACACCTCACCCCTCACCGCGTCAGATTTAACGAGCGTTGCAAGCGGCGTCTTAGACTATAATTCTGAGCGCCGTTCCAACGCCAAACAGACACGCGTTGGGTTGGCTGCCTTGGTTCGAGAAGTCTGCCTTGTGTGTGTCAGCCTTCCCTTCCATTGCCCTCTTGTCCTCTAGCTCGCCGCCGCCGCTTTCGCAATGGCCTCGTCCCGCCTCGCCCGCCTCCCTCTTGTCTTCGTTGGCGTCGCCGTTCTCTTTGCTGCGCCCGCCGCCGGGCAGGGGGACTGTCAAGCGAGTCAGCTCACCGGTTGCACCAAGGCGATTCTTGATGCGCTTTGTAAAGACCCTACCACTGGCGATTCTGTTGAGCCTTGCGATAAAGATGTCATCCTGGACGGGGGCACCTTCCCCATCGACCAGGACGGGTCTCTGGGAACAATCGTGAGAAGAGACGTTAAAATCACGAATTGGAAAGCCGACATTAGCCTCAGCAATGTGTGCGCAAGAAGCGTGACCATCACGGACTTCGAAAAGGGTCTGAAGCTGACGAAGAACTGTGTGCCTGGGGATTTAGGCGCGCTAGGCGGCGACGACAAGAACGGCGTCATCAAGATAATGGGTGGCATCAACAGCGGTGAAAGAATCACGGTGCTGCGCAATGACTCACCCGTAGCCATATGTAAGTGACCGTCAGCAAGTCGAGCATCAGAGAATCCACCTCTCCTCTGCATTCCCTTGTCTTGCGTGTCTTGAACAGTCGAGAAGAACAAGCAAGAAATCGACGCGCAACGCAACACCCACCTTGGTGACATTTGCAAGACTCCAACCGGCGAGAAGGCGGAGTGTACTACCAACCCAGAAGCTCCGAAACGTGTGTACAACGTAGAGTTCGTGGGAAACTTCAACGAGGTCGAGGCGGAGAAGGGGGTTCAACCACGTGAATTGGGTTAGGATCGAGAACAACGAGGATGAAGTCGAGACAGAGGACAACTGCGTGAAAGGCCAGGTGCTCTGTATGGGCAATGGAGGCGAGTACGAGTCGGAGGACTTCTGCTTCGCTGACGTCGTAGCTGATCGGTGTGTTGAGGGCAAGAACCAGCTCAAGGGCGACTGCACCACCTACGACGACCAAAAGCTCTCGCTTCCCTCTTCGGGGGATTGCCCGCCTACTGACGACGACGATGATGATGACGATAGACGACGCAGAGTGGCCCCTGGTCCTGCGGCTGCACCTAAGGCGCCTGCACCCGTGAAGCCTGCACCCGTGAAGCCTGCCCCTGCACAGCCTGCCCCTGCAAAGCCTGCCCCTGCAAAGCCTGACGGCAGGAGGCGAAGAGTCCGGCAGTAGGCCCGGCCTCTCTCTACATACGACACGACCTTGCGGTAAGGCCCAGGCAGCCACAATGACACGAAAGCCAGCCAGCCGCCAATCGCTTCTGTCGCTGGTGCGTGCAGGCCCTTTTTTCTCCGTCTGACTGGCTGTCTTTTCCTCACCGTCATCGCTCCACTGGACTGATCCGCACGTACACACCACACACGTATCGTGTTGCTTTCTTTCGCCGCGGGCAGTAGGCATAGAGGGCTGGATGGAGTCTTGATGAGAGGGCGGGGGAGAGGGGTTCATGTCGTAGTGGCGAGAAAGAAGTGTATGCGTGTGAGTGGGCGTCTGTCTGTCTGTCTGTCTGTCCGTGTCATTGCTTTGCCTCAGTCTGGCCGTTTTATGTCGTCCGTGTGTGAATGTGCGTTCCATTGGCAGCCATGGGGGGAGGGGAGGTGACATCGGTGAGTGTCCTTCTGTCGGCGTTTTGTTTGCCTTTGGGTCGGCCCAGGGCGAAATGCACACACACTGCTCTTGTCTACACTACCTAACCTCGCCACGCACCTACTCGGCGGTAGGTGTGGTGGTGTGTGGTTGGACGGGACGGCGTGTGAGTGTGTCTGTGGATGTGGTATGGTGAGGGCCTCTAGTGTTTCTTTCCGTGTGTACGTGTCTCTGCGTGGATGAATGAATGAATTGCGTGCCTGAATCGTCCTTCGCCTCAGTCAGCTGTCTGCCTGTCTGTCTGGCCGTTTACGTACGTGGCGTACGTGTGTGTGTGGATGGGTGTGTGCGGGCTCTAGTTTTCCTCTGCTGTTTTTCCAATCGTCAATCGGCGACATACACCGGCGAGAGCCATACATACATACATACGATCCATACGTAGTAGGGTGTACATACGTAGACGAGCAAGTGTTTTCTTTAGGACTTAATTCCATGCTTCCATCCATCCAGTGGATGCTGAGTGCTGGAGCGACGTGTCGATCACGACTTGATTGACACCTCGGCGCATGCTGAGAGCTGAGTGAGCAGATGTGAGACGATCATTGCTTTCTCAACATACAAACATACATACTCGACGTGTGTCTGTCTGTCTTTCTGTGACGGAGGGCGCGAGTGAATGTTAATCCGATGTGTGTATATGTCTGTCTGTCTGCGGGGTGTGTGCTTGCATGTGTGTGATGACGCAACTAGGCTAGCTGCTGACATGACAATATGATAGGCTTACTGCCATCAAAGCGAATTAGACCACGCATCCATCCATCCATCCATTCATTCATCGGCCATCATGAAACGATCGTCAACACACACGTACTTATGCACAAACCAACTCCCCGCCAGCCCACCCAGCCACCGACGCACCCAACCCACCCACCCATCCCTCCGTCAGAATGTGATCTCCCCGCTGGCTTCGGCAACAATGGCAGCCGCATTTTTCTTGCTCTTCGCCGTCGACTGCACCCCCTCACCCAGCCCACCCAACACAGCAGCCGCCCGCCCCAGCCCCGACTGCGCGATGGTCGATATCCGTGACGAGTGTCTGGCGGCCCCCGCTCCGCCGCTGGATGGCACTGCCAGCCCGCCCAGGGACGGATTCATCGGGTCCTGGGTAAGGGAAAGAAAGCACAATAAGGTGATGGTGGGGAGGGCGGCGAGCTGCTTACCGCAGATTTGATGGTGCCAGGTGGCGATGGCTTGTTGAAGATGAGCGATGCCGCGGCGATGGTGCCGGCGGCAGGGCCGCCGTCGTCCCACAAAGTGTCCTCCTTCAGGTCGTTGGGCGAGCGCACGTCAAGCTGCACGCAGATACACACACACACACACACATATGGCAGGAAAGACGGGCAAAGCCAATAACGTGGAGAGGCGTACCGATTTCCAAATGTGTATGCCAGCCTCTCGGACGATGTCGACAATGCGATTCTGACAAGAAAGACAGAAAGAAAGGAAGAAAAAAAGAAAGAAAGAAAGGGAAAGACAGAGAGTCCACTGACGCGAGAGTCGGTCTCTGTCAGTGCGCCGTGTGTGTGTGGGTGCCTTGCACGCGGCGTAGAAGAGCTTCTGTGTGGGCGACGCCCCGTCAGGACACGACAGTATCAACACTGATGGACACACAGAACACCCAGGTGTCATACAGACGTGGATGCAGCAAACGAATGCACGGCTTACCGACTCGATCGCGCCCCCTCAGCAGATAGTAACGCGCCTTGCTTGACTCCAGATTGGCCGACAGGATGCCTGACACCCACACACAGGGAGAGGAAGGCAGACACACGTGTGTGCAGACACTTCACACGTGTGTGTGCAGGCCTGCAGGGACGCTCACTTGCTCCTTGGTACGGTGAGGGGTTGGCGTCCACAGTGGACGACTTGTCGTCAACACTCTGATGCAGACACGCACACCCACACACATCCATCCATCCATCCATCCGTCAACACTAGGTATGTGTTTCTGCTGTCTTACGATCTGCAGGCAGTTCTCGCGACCGTTTTTGAAGTTCTTCAGGTGATCCTGATAGACACACACAGTGAGCTGTGCCTGTGTCGATACAGCCCGGGCCATCTGTCTGTCTGAGAAAGAGCACCTTGAGGCTCTCCTTCGGTGTGATGGGTATCGACGGCATCACCGCGTGCTTGGGCCGCGACGCATCCTCACTCCTCTCAACCTGGGCACAACCAGACCACACCAATAAGTGCATGGATCGACTGAGCACACTCCGCCGCTTCTTGCTGGCCGCACCTTCCTGTCAACACGGCTATCTGCGCTCGCCGCCTCCTGAGCAGACGCCGGCCTGCCCGAGCCGCCCTTTCTGCTACTCCTGTACCCCTCATACGACAACTCAGACTGACAGACCAACGGACAGAAACACACACATGGCGAGTCGGTGCCATATGTGTGTGGGAAGAGGTGAGGGTCACTCACCCACCTTGGTAGAGCAAAAGAACTCCTCCAGGACGGCCTGCTTGCCGGTGGCGGTGCCTGTGCCCAGGTACCTGCCGAGAATGGCCCTGCCGGTGGCGTACATGACCTTCTCCTTCGCAGACACACCCTCAGGCACCCACGCTACCAACACCCTGACACACACACACACACACACACATTGCAAACCACGTGCGCGTGGCCGTCATTCTTCTCTGATGCTGTCAGTCTGACCTTTCCGGGGTGTTAGAGAGTGTGGCGAGTTTGACCAGGAGGATGCAGGCCTCCTTCTCCTGCACTAGCGGCTGGAGGGACTGGAAGGTCGCCTCAACGCCGGACAGGGAGGAGGCCGGCACGCTGCTGTCAGCCTTCTGGGGCGCTGGCGCCTCAACCAGCACCTCTGAAGAAAGGATACAACACACCAACACAGCACTCGATGTGACAACATCATTGCGTGTCTGTCGTTTATGGGCTGTTTTTCCTGTCTGCTGTGCCTATGGCCCTCTGCTCTTCAGTGCGGAGCTGCCCACCTGCTTTGAACACGATTTTGAGCACGTGCGCGTCGGACCTGGCATCCTTCCAGCGGTCGATGGCGGCCTTTAAGGCGTCGCTCAACTCGAACGTCTGCGCATACATCACGCCAACCTACACACTCAGTTTCAGCGCCATTTCCGTTCGCTAAAATGGACGGAAAGCTCGCAGCTGAGCTCACAGTCGGCGAAGTTCGCAGTTTTGGTCACAATGAGGAGCCTCCTGACCTTGGTTGCAGCCTTTATCGGCCTCGCGAGCCTCGCCGCGGCCTTCACCCTCCCGTCCGGCAACAGATCTGCAGATGGCATGGGCTCCGCATCATTGCGGAGATCTCACTCTCACGTGGCGAAGCACACGCAAAGGAGGGCGCGGCAGTCGGTGACGATGGCGGACGCCAAGGCCTACGTGGACGGCCTGGTCTCTGAGCATCGCGTGATGGTTTTCGCCAAGCCGGAGTGCCCCTACTGCCAGAGCGCCATCAACCTGATGGCCATGAACGGGGCCAAAAAGGTCAAAAGCTTCAAGGTCGGCTGCTCTCACTGCACATGGGCAATGTAGAGGAAGAGCCTCCTTGGGTGTGTGGGTGTGTGTGTGTGTGTGCAGATCGTGTACCTTGACAATGAGGATCCAGCGACAGACACCATCCAGGACTATCTGCAGGAGATCACCGGCGCCCGCACCGTCCCGCGCATCTTTGCTGACGGCAAGTGCATCGGCGGCTCGTCTGACGTCGAAGAGATGAAGTCGGCCGGCACGCTCAGGCCACTATTCGCGTCTATGGCTGAGTGAGTGAGGATCGGCTGATGCCGTGGTCCGTTTGTTTGGTTGTGTGTGTGTGGTCTGCGGAGAATGAAGCATCTCGATGCAGAGAAGGTGGTGCGTGGTGGTATGCGATTTTGTCCCACTGGTGGCCTCTCCCGATTGTGAGTGGAGCCTTTCTGAATGGGACAGCGTGATGTGCTGTGATTTTCTTTCGGGTGCGTGTGTGTGCGCGTGTTGGTGGACGGTGAGAATGACGAGTGACATTTGTGAGTGACTGTCAACGCTTCAGATGTTTTCAGGACAGTTCGAATTGCCCATGAATCATCCTGCGATTGGGTGTCTTTCCAGTTACTCTCTGTCTGTGCAGGTCACGTGTTTGCGGTATCTCCCTTGCGTCAGATAGCCCATCACGAGAAACCAACTCAGCTGTGCGAAGACACAGTCGGCTGCTGCATGATGGGCCCCCAGACGTCAAGGACGACAGCCAGACACACACACACACACACACACTTGTGACCGTTCGGCCTACCACACACATGAACTGCCTACACAAATACTGCTGACTGATCGACTGACTGACACGCATAGCGCTAGTCTTCCTTGCCACACACACTTGCACTTGAAAAGTCACTCACATCTCTCGCACCGCTCACTCACACACACACACAGTGACTCCCATGCTGATGGAGATCACCTCTTTCTCGTCTTGACAGGCTTCTTGTGGTACTCCTACACACACACACACACACACACACGTTTCTACCAGCTTCCTGCGCCTGTCCGCGGCCTACTCACCTTGAGTCGGGCAAGTATCATCTCGGCATTGCAGAAGCCCAGAGCGACCTCCGAGCCCGTCGGCATGATGTTCAGCCGCATGGCCTCGGCGATCCCCACAGCTGCGGGGTCTCGGCCACAGGTCGCCACCGCCTCGATCTGCCCGCCACACACAGGAGGCAAGAAACGGATGCCTGTGGTGTGTGTGTAGGGTTTGGTGTGGTTGCCTTGTCGTCTTTGATGTAGTAGGCGACGAACTGGTACTTGGAGAGGTCGCCCTCCACCACGAGCTCGTCGAACTCCTTGACGTGGCCCGCGTACCTGAGAAATAATGAGAAACGAGGAGAGAGTTCGGATCTCGAGTGTGCGAAGGACACACATACACACACACACACACACATATGCTCACACCTCACTGTGGTACCCACCTGATAGACTTGCCGAAGATCATGGTCCAGAAGAAGGGCACAGTCGAGAAGGGCTGATGCTGCCACGCACACGACACACACACACCTTTCCCCTCCCTCCTCTCCGCTCTCCTCCCTCTCCCTCTCACCTTGTCCATCATGTTCTTTGCGGCCGTCCTGCCCTGCTGCAGCGCCACATCCCAGTGCTCTATTCTGGTGTCAAGGCCGGTCTTGTAGTAGGGGAAGGTGGCCACATCGCCCGCAGCGAAGAGGGAAGGCTCATCCCGTGACTGCAGGAGGGCGTCCACCAGGATGGAGCCGTCCTTGGCCATGCTCACGCCCTCCACCTGCACACAGACAGACAGAACACACAGACACACACCATCTTGTGTGGGTGGGTGTTGGTTGGTTGGGGGGGGGGGACCAGTGTGGCGTTGGGAATGACGCCCGCCCCGACGACCACGGCGTCACACGCGAGGACCTCCCCATTGGTGAGCTCCACACCCTCGACTGGTGTGCCCTTCATGTCCTCGCCACGCGTCCTATCAAACACACACACACATGAACCATCTCTCTCTCTCTCTCTGTGTGTGTGTGGCGCTGTGTGTGTCTGACCATTCTGCTTTGTGTCTGCCCCTGAACCGCTTGACGATGGCGTTGCCCCAGAACTCCACGCCCTGCTCCTCCAGCAGCTTCTTGAACATCGCGCCAACCTTCAGACCCAAAACACGCTCAAACGGCACCGTTTCCTGCACACACACACACACACACACACACATACACACACACAGAAAGACTCACAACCATGCCGGGTGCACAAGAACAGACAGGCTCTCGCTGACCATGCCAACGACAGACACGGAGCACCCCTTGCGCGCCAGCGTGGCGGCGATCTCCATGCCGATAAAGGAGGAGCCCACGATCACCTGTAAGTCGATGGATGGATGGATGGATGGCGTGTGGGATGTTGGCCGGTGTGTGGGATACTCGTACCACTCGCATGCCCCTCTTCGCAAAGTTGGCGATCTGCCTGGCGTCCTCCGGCCGCCTCAGCCCAAAGACATTCTGGCAGTCGTGGCCCGGCACGAATAGCTTCCGCGGCTCGGCACCAGTGGCGATCAGCACCTGCAAAGGTCAGAAGACGTGTGTGTGTATCTCTGTGTATCTCCTTCTCGGCTGATCGCGTGGCATGGCTACCTTGTCGTAGCTGTATGTGTCGCCGTCGTCGAGCTGTATCCTCTTGGCCTTGGCGTCGACATGGGTCACAATGGAGTTGTTCAAGTACTCGATGTGCGCCGACTGCCCACACACACACACACACACCCCTCTCTGTGGGGTGGGGGACATGGGTGGCGTGGCGTCTGTGTGACCTTCATGAAGTCATGGTCCCTCAAGACGATCTTCTTGACGTCTGCGTGGAGGTTCTTAGACAGGACAGCGCGGTCGTACGGCGGGTGGTCCTCGCGACCAAACATCAGTATCCGACCCTAACACACACACACACACACACACACACACAAACACACACGCACATCCACTTTCGGCTGCAGGCACACTGATGGCATATTCTTCTCTTCGTTCTATGGCTGTGAGCTGACTGACCGTGAAGCCCTCCTGTCTGAGCGTTTCTGCGGCAGCCATCCCGGCCGCCCCCGCACCCACAATGGCATACACGCGCTTGTCCTTGGGGTCGCGCTTGGCAAGGGTCGGCTCGACGTGGTCCTGAACACACCACACACCAAACCACACACGCACACACATTACCGTCTGCTGCTGGGTGTGTGTGTCGTTTAGTGGTCAGTCACCTGCATGTCGCTGGGGAGGGTGACGAGCACCCGGCCTCTGTTGACGCGGATGGGGTAGGTCGGAATGGCCTTAAGACCAGGACCTGCAAACCATCAGTGCGTCAGGCCAGCTGATGAGACGAACATGGTTGCCTTGCCGTGTGGCCCTCTCTCTCGGACTGACCGTTGACGCATTTGCCGGTCTTGAGATCGAACTCTGCGTCGTGCCAGGCGCAGGTTATGTGGTCGACGCCAAGCACGCCTGCATGAGAAGACAGAGAGATGGAGAGATGGAGAGCATCAAGAGGGCAAACCGCTCCCTCCCTCCCTCGCTCCCATGGTGCTTGCCTTTCTTGAGTGGCGCGTTATAGTGTGAACACAAGGCCCCCACAGCGAAGAGCTGCCCCTTGATGCGAGTCACCAGCACCTTCTTGTCTGCACAACACCACCAAACCCAACACAGACATCGTCAGTCAGATTGATGCACAGGCACACTGTAGAGCCACTCACTCACTCACCGCTCTTGACCTTCACCTCATAGAGCTCCCCATCCTCATACTCATTGTCCGCACCGATATCAACATCCTCCTCGCCCCTCCGGGCAGCACACTGCGCCGCGCCCCTCCGCCTGCCCTCATCGCCACTCCACCACGCAAACCCAGCGGCGGCCATGAGTGCTGCTGCAATGGGAGCGTTGGAAGGTCCGCTCCTGGGCGCCTCGGTGTGGCCATGTGACGGGCCTGGGTGTGTCGATGGAGGCTGTGATCTGGCAACGAGATGGAGGGTAGGCTGCTGGATGATGGCTGCCTGCGATGATGTCCACCATCTTATTAGCGGAGCTGCGACGCTTCTCCGACCTGATGATGCAGATCTCATCCTGGTTGGTTGGTTGGTTAAGGGTTTGACGAGACACCTGTCCCTAAGCCCGGCGCTACCTTCCGGCGCAACCAGGCATCTTCTCTGTCCACAGCACACACCAAACAGGCAACAGGCACATGCAGAATGCATGCACAAGGCCTATCTGCCCTTCCCATGGAGCAGTGGGTGCTAGTCTGACAAGTCAGCGTCAAGCACCCACTGCTCCATCTCATGCAACTCATATATGAAGTCATACTCACCATCAAACTGACTGGGTGGGAGAGATGGATTGAGTGCAAGCCAGCGAGCCCGCTCCTTGTGTGCAGCTAGGAGGAAGTCTGCAACTGCTGAAAG